ACAAACAGCAGAAGAGAAACCAGATGATTGGGACCTTCTAAAAATTAAATTTTTATGTGCTTCCAAACACTTCTCCAAAAGAGTCAAAAGAGAACGTTCAGATTGGGGAAAAATATGTGGTAATGACATACTTACAAGGGACTTATCTCTAGAATTTTTAGAAAACTCCAACACGTCAATAACAACTAGACAAACAATCTAATTTAAAAATGGACAGAAGACACGAATAGACACTTCACCAAGGATGATATTCAAGTGGCCAACAAACATATGAAGAAATGCTCACAATCATTATCTATTAGAAATATGCAGATCAAAACAACAATGAGATACCCTCTTGCTCAAGCAGTAGTAGCAAAGTTCAGTGAGACAGAAAATAACAAATGCTGGTGAGGATGTGAAGAGATTGGAACTCTCATACACTGTTGGTTGGAGTGTAAAATGGTATAACCATTGTGGAAAGTTGTATGGTGATTCCTTCAAATTTGGAACTAGAAGTACCATTTGACCCAGCTATTCCATTACTAGGTATATACCCTAAAGAAGCGAGAGCCATGACAGGAACAGACATATGCACACCCATGTTCATTGTGGCACTCTTTACAATAGCCAAAAGGTGGAAACAACCTAGATGTCCATCAACTGAGGAATGGATATCCAAACTATGGTACATACACACAATGGAATACTATGCAACCCTAAAGAATAATGTAGAATCTGTAAAACACCACATAACGTGAATGAACTTGGAGGACATTATGTTGAGTGAAATAAGTCAATCACAAAAGGAGAAATATTGTATTAGTCCGTCATTGTAAATGTCAAGGAAACTTTTATCTATGAAAGAACATTTTCTTTCTTAGTTACCAGGGGTGTGAGGGTAGGGTAGGGGAGGGAACACTGTTAGGTAGATAGAGTTCAGTTTTGATTTGGGTGAAGGAAGGGCAATGTACCAAATGTTGAGTGATCAATATAGTGGCATTGAGGAAGAGAAAGACATAGAGAGGTACGTGGGAAGTGCAGACAACAAAGAGGAACCCTTTTGCACATACAGTACGGCATTGTCAGTGAAGGCAAACATGGGTATAAGGGTGGATAGATGGGTGGACAGGCTGAAATATTAGGTATATCTATGAAGTGGGGAGTGTACCTAAGAACATGTATAGGGTTAGCAGTCACTTTATGTGCATGATGTGAATTCGCAGGTATATAGTGGAGCTGCCAAGGAGCAAGGTTGTAGTCAATGCTTGGTCACAGCCAGCTACCCAGAGGGACTGAGTAGTTGAACCTGTGGGCTCGGGACCATAGTTGCAGAGGACATCAAGCTCAATTGGCATAACATACTACACAAAACATTGTTCCACCTCCTACTGTGGCAAGTAGCGACTGGGATCTTAAAAGCTTGCAAGCTGCCATCTGGATGCAATGATGGGTCTCTTCTCGTCCAGAGCAAAGAAGAATGAAGGAAACCAAATATTTATGGAAACAATTAGTCCTAACAACTGGTACACCATCCGATCTGCAGCCTATACGACTATGAGACCAGAAGAACTAGATGGTGCCCAGCTACTACTGTCAACCACTTGGAAGAGGATCTATGTAGGAGATCCTGGATAGAGAGGGAGAACAATGTGGAACAAAACTCAAAATCATTTGGAAAAAAAAGGGGGGGCGGGGCCAGGTTTGCTGGTCCGATAGAGCCTGGTGGAATCACTGAGACTATGGCCCCTAGCTGCTCGTCACGTCTGGAATTGAACCCATGAACAATAGACAGGTATATGAGTTGAACATTTACCTGAGGTAGATAAACTCCTTGGAGAGAACAAGTATGGGAGAACAAAGGGCTGCTTATGCACAGGGAGATAGCTCAGGGGGCAGTAGTGCAAGGAGGGATGGACACAGGAAGAGGTAACTATCGGGAGGAAGTAGGAGGGGAGATGTTGCATTGTGGTAAACTGTGGTCAATGTCATGAGACAAAGCGTATGTGAACTGCTGTATGGAAAGTGTATTTGCTCTGTAAATTTTCATCCAAATCACAAAAGTAAAATTTTCTTGTTACACTTTTTATGAATCTGTCGGTATATTAATAGGTATGAAATTATGGATCAAGTAATTATGGTTTTTCATTTACTTATTTAATATAGTGTTCTGTTTTGTCTGATAAAAGTACAAAGCAATGCATTTAATATGTCATTTATTTCTTTAAGGCTGATAAAGAATTTGTTTGGTCTTTGTGGAAACGCCTCCAGGTGACAAACCCAGATCTCACACAAGCAGTCAGTTTGGTTGTGGAAAGGTGAGCTTCCAAGTAATTTCTTCATGGATATTTGGTTTGTTGATTTGTTTCCTTTCAGTATTTAACACTTTGTATTAATATCATAGAGATTCATGTGATTTCCAAATAAGAACTTTTTGTGGAGTGTGAAGTAATTATTGGATTTATATCAAGGGGTGCCAGTTTACCAACTCAGTATACACAGGCCATGTCTAGGACATGTCTTATGCTCATATTCTGTAAAACTGTAGCTTCTACAGTGCTTTTTTTTTTTTTTTTTTAAGTGTGTCTAAGTGCATATGCTTATTTTGAGCAGTTCCAGTTTTAAACTGGAGAAATCTGTGTTGTTTGGCGTCTTACTTCATAGACTACCCCTGTAGGGAATTTCATAGACATGAAATGCTCAGTTTTCTCTTAAGATAATTGCATTATGTACTTGAAAGTCTGGCGTAACCTTGCCAGAGTGGAGAAAGTGTCCTGGAATAGGTTGAGAGATTTCTCTTAGCACTCTATATTACTCTGTAGGGGATGCCCCGTCATTTACTGTAGATTATTGGGCCTCTCCTTGGTCATTAGGAACAGTGGAGTGATGCCGGGTACTACTTATCAAACATTTAGTATACGGTAGTCCCCTGACACTTAGCATAGTCATTAAAACACTTGCTTTCCTATTAAATGGATTTCATTACATTTCCTAAATGAGAAACTAAGCATATGGATACCTTTTCCTTTTTTTTTTTTTTCCTTTATAGGAATCATGATTATATAATCTGAATATCATTTTTGAGAACTTGAGCTACAATATTCTTTGGAATATCTAGCCCTGGAATCATTCCAATATTGTCTGGAATTTGACTTTTTAAAATCTGTGATATATGTCTCACTTTGTCTAGTTTTATCATCCTTGGTTATTTGAACTCTCAATATAGATTAATCAATTTCTGCTTAGTTGCTTGTGTATCTTATTCATCAATTCATCTTTTCTTTTTGATGATAAGAATTGAATCTTTTGTAGAAGTACCCAGTTACTACCTCAATCATCCTTGAGATGAAATGTGATCACTCTCAGGCTCATTCTGTGTTTTATCAGAATAGGCCTTTTAGAAGTTGTATTTCTGGATCTTCAATTGTTATGTCTGTGATCCTTTCTATATACTACCTTCTTTTTATTTATTTTTTTTTAGCTTTTCGAAACTTCTTTTTTTCTGTATTCTTGGCTGAGATAGAAGCAAACGTTAAAACATTATTTGTTCATCTTATCTTTTAAGTTGTTCTATTTTATAATTTACATAATGTATCACAAGAAAAGTTGTTGTTGTTGTTAAGTTCTGTCAAGTGGGTTCTGACTCATATAGGATCCTGTGCACAACAAAATGAAACATTGTCTGGTCTTGTGCCACCTTCACAGTCATTGCTGTGTTTGAACCAATTGTTGCAACCACTGTGTTTGTCTCATTGAGAACCTTCCTCTTGGTTTTGCTAACTCTTTACTTTACTGAACATTATGTCCTTCTCTAGGGACTGGTCCCTCCTGATAACATGAACAAAGTACATGAGACAAAGTCTCACCATCCTTGCTTATAAGGAGCATTCTGACTATATACTTCTTCCAAGACATTCATTCTTTTGGCAGTCCATGGTATATTCAGTATTCTTCACCAACACCTTAATTCACATGTATCAATTCCTCTTTCACCTTCCTTATTCGTTGTTTAGATTTTGCACGTATATGAGGCGATTGACAATACTGTGGCTTGGGTCAGGTGCACCTTAGTCCTCAAAATGACATTTTTGCTTTTTAACAATTTAAAGAGATATTTTGCTGCGTATTTGCCCAGTGCAATATATCATTTGATTTCATGACTGCTGTTTCTGTGGTCATGGATTGTGGATCCAAGTGAAATGTAATCTTTGACAACTTCAGTATTTTTCCATCTATCAAGGTATTGCTTCTTGGTCCAGTTGTGAGGATTTTTGCTTTCTTTATTGTGAGGTATAATCCATACTGAAGGCTATAGTTTTGATCTTCATCAGTAAGTGCTTCAAGTCCTTATCACTTTAAGTAATCACTTAAGTCACCTGCATATTGTAGGTTGTTAATAAATTTTCCTCCAATCCTGATGGTGTGTTCTTCATAGAGTCCAGCTTGTCAGATTATTTGCTCAGCATATAGATTGAATAACTCTGGTGAAAGAATACAACCCTGCCACACACCTTTCCCGATTTAAAACCATTCAGTATCCCCCTGTTCTGTTTGAAAGACTAACTCTTGATCTGTATACAGGTTCCTCATGAGCACAATTAAGTGATCTGGAATTCCCATTTTTCATGAGGTTACCTATACTCTGTTATGATCCACACAGTTGAATACCTTTGCATACAAGTAAGCATCTTTCTGGTATTCTCTGCTTTAAGCCAAGATCCATCTGATATCAGCAGTGATATTCCTCATTCCATGTTCTCTTCTGAATCCAGCTTGATTTTCTGGCAGTTCCTTCTTATTGTACCATAGCAACCGTTTTTTAATGGCTTGTTGTACATCTTAACTGCAGCCTCGTTAGAGATTCTGAACCACAACCATTCAGCTAAGCCATGCCCTGATGGTTGACTTTGAATATCTGTGTGATAATGAATGATTGTTTTAAGCTACTTAGTTTTTGAGTAATCTGTTATACTATACTACAGTTGGGAGCTCTGGTAGCATCGTGGCTAAAGCACTTTACTGCTAACCAGAAGCTGGTGGTTCAAACCCACCAGCCACTCCTCAGAAAGAAGATGGGGCGATCTACTTCTGTAGTGATAACTGCCTCAGAAACCCAAGGAGGAGTCGCTATGAGTCGGGTCTGACTTGACGGCACATAACAACAACAACAACATACTATAGTTACACTGTATTATACTATAGATACTAATACACTGGATCAAACAATATACATTTGCAATTGTGATAGATACTGTGAAATTGCTGACTTTGTTGTACCAATTTATACTTCTACTAGCTCTGATGGCGTAGTGCTTAAGGCATTTCACTGGTAACCAGAAGGCTGGCAGTTCAAACCCATTAGCCACTCCTCAGAAGGAAGATTGGGCAATCTACTTCCGTAGAGATACCACCTCAGAAATCCACTGTGAGTCGGGACCGACTGGACAGCAGAGGGTTTGGTTTTTTTGGTTAGCTATGTAAGAAGTTGTCTGTTTTCTCCACAGTCTGACCATTGCACTGTGTTCAACCATATGTTTCCTTATCTCAAAGGTCAAAATGATTATCTTGAAATATTTTCATTTGCATTCCTTTATTTTGTATGAACAAAGCCTAAGAGTTATTTTATATCATTTCTGTGGAATATTTTTTCATGTCCTTTGCCTGTGGCATTTCTGATTCATGTCTTTTGGCACCCTTCAAACTCAGTACATTATCTGTAGAACTTAGGGGCTGCTGCTTCGAGTTTTTGTACCTAACTTTCTTATAACCACAGGCATGCCATTTACTTTGTCTCTAAATTTCACATCTTAAGGGTTATCTTTGATATCTTCTGGTCTCTTTTTGAACAGAAAATCAATTTCTCTTTCTTTTTTTTGCAGTGTCACTCAAATCCAGTAATTCCTCTGTTTCCTTAACTTCCAAATCCTCTACCTCAGCACTTCACTTAGTATCTCAGTTTTGAACATCTTATTGATTTCTTTCCTAAACATCAGTTCTATTTTATATCTTCACATTGAGGCAGAAGAAGGTATAAGACACCCAAGAAAATAATTTGTGAAATTTATTTCAATTGTTTCCAATGAAAATTCTAGAAACTTCTGCATGGATATCTAGAGGAAACTTGTTACTGGTAGGCTTGGATGCCTGGTGGTATTCTTGTTGGGTGCTGTTGAGTTGATTACAGTGCATAGCAACTCCATGTGACAGTAGAACTGCCTCATAGGGTTTTCTTGGCTATAATCTTTACAGAAGCAGATCATCAGGGTCTATCTCCCACCAAGCGGCTAAGTGAACTTAAATCTCCATCCTTACTGTTAGCAGCTAGAGTTCCTCTTGGATGCCTGTTGTTGTTGTTATTTGCCATCGAGTCGGCCCCGACTCATAGCGACCCCTCCTTGGGTTTCCAAGGCAGTATCACTACGGAAGTAGGATTGCCTAACCTCTTGGATGCCTAGGGGAGACTAAATTATGAAAGGAAACTAGACTATGAGATTCAGACATGTTTGGCCATCATTAAAAAAGATATCTCTGCTACATTTACTTATTCAACAAATATTGAGTGTTGTCTGAATATCAGACACTGTGCTAAGAGAGAGGAATAGAGCTCTGTGCTTTGCTATGAAGAACTACTGTCTGTGGGACACCAAACCAAATGCACTGCCGTCGAGTTGGATCCGACTCATAGCGACCCCTTCTTGGCTTTCTGAGGTGATATCACTATGGAAGTAGATTGCCCAACCTTCCTTCTGAGAAGTGTTGGGCAGTCTACTTCCATAGAGATATTGCCTCGGATACCCAAGGAGGGGTCGCTATGAGTTGAAATCAACTCAACAGCAGTGAGTTTGGTTTTTTTTTCCAAGTTTGTTGTTGTTGTTGTTGTTATGTGCTGTTGAGTCAGACCCGACTCATAGCGACCCCTCCTTGGGTTTCCAAGGCAGTATCACTACAGAAGTAGATAGCCCCATCTTCCTTTCGAGGAGTGGCTGGTGGGTTTGAACTGTCAGCCTTCTGGTTAGCAGTCAAGTGCCTTAGGCACTACGCTAACAGAGCTCCCTTATAGAAAACAATATTTTCTACAAACAAATTTATAACAAAAATATAACATTTACAAAATGTTTTTGATTTGTGTGATAACATTCTATTACAGAAATAAAACTTTTGTTTTCAATAACATAAACTAGTTAATTAAATGGAATTAGTGCCAACTTTTTTTTTTAACTTGAAAAGGGATCGCATTACCTGCCATTTTATGAGTTCATTTTGAATTGCTACTGTCAAAACCACATTTTTGATATATTGCTTGTTTGTTAGCCCTACA